CTATCCCAAGATATGTATATGAGAAAATATCTAGTCATTTCCTTTTCTTAAGATTACTTCTGTTTCATGCTTTAACAGCAGTGGGGAGGGCTCCCACCTGCCAGCACCTGAAATTACCCCACATGAGTGCCATGACCCTGCCATGGACAGCTTCCCACAAGAATTGTGTAACTCTCCAAAGAGGTGACCTTCCTCCACTGATCAGGTTCGTGGTATCTCAGTCCATCTGTTTGTTTGGTCCTCTTGTGCTCCTGGATCCCCTGGAATGGCCCTGGAGAATAGGAGAATCATAGAACTGTAAGTTACTAGAGATAAAATTATAAGGTCAGCAGTCTTGTCAACCAGGAGAGAAAACAGTTGAAATCCACCTTTACTACATTTGTATGTTAGCCAAAACTCATGTTCAGTCAGGAATACTACAAGTATTTTGCATATTTTACAAATAAGACACCTCATACTGTTAGCAGCAGTTATAATTGCACTGTAGTTCTATAAAATAAAACGTAATATAATACTTATGCTTCCAAATTACACAATAGTAATTGTGAATAATTATACAAAATCTCGGGCTTTTTTATGGTTATTTCTAACACTGAATTTGTGTACACTATATACACACCATCTGTAGAGAATGTAAGACACAACTTCTGTTTGAGCACAGATATTTAAAACTGTAGCATCAACTTTTCAGCTATTGTCTCTATCTTCCTCTAAACCTCATTAATTCAACAATGTAGCCTTTGGGATTTACTCTCCAGCATCATTGCAGCCATATCTACATACCTCCAGTACTTTGTTTATTGCAAGAACATTTATGCATATGTCCTGAATCCCTGACTCCTCCTCCATCCAGTCCTCCCTGGGCTCTGTCCGCCACATGTACCACTGCATCCAACCCCTCCACGCGCAGGGATGATTATGCACCAGTGGTGACACAGAGCACTGGTTTCCAAACTCTTGCTGTGAAAAGCATTTGAGGTGTTTCAGTAGAAGGCTGCTAGTTGTGAATACCAAAGCAGGGGCTTTCCCCTCTGTAGAGGCCCCTCTTAAGTATAATGTACAAACAATGAAAATGAAAAGCAATAAAAAAGAGAGATCTGGGCTTTGAATCCTTCTTAGGGTCAAGCACTAAACCCTCCTTTTTCAGATACACAACCCACACTTGTTGTCCTCAAGAGAATTAACCTTAAGGAAGGAATTGAACAAAGTATGTATTTTGTTTACAGTGGACAAAGAAATTGTTCTAAAGCAACAAACAAACTTCAAATAAAATATAGATAACTGCAGGGAAAAAAAAAAAACAACAAACCACACGCTCCCAGAAATGAAACCCCAGTATATTTCTGATTTCATTGACTTTGTGTTGTATAGCAGAAGGTTAATCAAACTAAAGTGTTACATTTCTCCTCTGTTATTAACCAAAGCAAATAACATTAGCATTTTGTTAAATGTATTTTAATCAGGAATATTTTCCCAGATAGTCTGCACAGTCACTTTGCAGATTTCAGTGGAAGTTATTTACATGCTGAAGCATTGAGCCTGGATAGAAACACTTTGCTGCAATAGCAACACATACCCAACTGTTTTAATTTGTTTGGAAAAAAATACAACTTTTTGCAGTTAGACCCCTGATCTATAAAAGCACTTAAGCAACTGTATAACAGAGTGTATGAGTAGTCACTTAATGAAATTACTACTTATATACATGAATTATCCTCTCATTTTAAGTGATTTGCTGGATCAAAGCCTTTCTGTTTCAATTAGAGCAGCAGAGTTAAGGTAATGTAACAATGCCAGTTTGGAGAAAATAGCAGACCAAAGGTGCCTGTATCAATAAAGATATTCCCAGAGGGGAAAGAGAATAAATGATATCTATAGGAAGTGCCCACGTAACTACACCACATGAAGTCTAATTATCCATTCAACTTTTTTTAACCTAGAAGATTAAAATAAGTTTCATTTCAAACCCTTTAAGAAATCTCTGCACTATTTTGGTTTGTGTAGGGGATGAAAATGTTAATGCTCCAAGAACTTGGAAAAAAACCCCAACCCAACTACTTAAAATACCACTTCTACTTTTTAACTGTGATAAACAGAGTATATTATAAAACTCCAATGTAGCCTATTCAAGCATCAGAACAGCTCTTTCAAAGCAATGCATTCTCTTCTGAAAGATTTTAGTATGATAATCAAAAATTCTCTCCCTCAGATGCACCTGAGAAGCATTAACTTCTTGGTGACATTAAGAACCCAATCCTTTAATACAAACCTCACTTTTCCCACAGACACTTGAAAATATTTAGCATTTTTTCAGTTGAATGCAATTTTCATAATAAAGTAGCTCACTCAGCTACCTGACATCACAAAGACACTGAGTGAGCAGCTCCTGCCAACTTAAGCAGAGCATGATCGCAACCCCCAGTTACATATGTAAGTAGGCTTTTAAACATCCAATTGCTGTAACAATTCAAGTAATTTATGCTATTGTTATTCATTATATTCATTATTTGTAAAACATGCATTTTATTCCACAACATCCAGACCTCTTGCATACCTGATGTCTTTCAGTCAACCTTAACGGAGGATACACCAGATCTTAAATTCCTGTATCATTTAAATTCTACCTCTATGACCAGTTTTAGCACACCAAAGCTTCCCTTTGCCACTCTAAACACAACCTGGATGCCTAATTTAAGTTCTGTCATTTAGGGGCTGGTAATCAGAATTTGGTTATACAACATCCCTTCTGCTACAAAGCAGATTCTTCCACATAAACACACCCCTTTCTGAACAGCACCAGTCCATCACTACTGATGCTGCTCCCTACCTTTAGTTAACTCTTTGTTTAAATTTCACTGGTAAACCTTTCAGAAAAGTGTGGGAATTTTGTTCTGTGCCCAAATACTCAGCCCAATCAAATCTGAAATGTTCCTATTTAACTGCATCTCTGGCATTTTCAAGGGTATCACTTTAAAACTACAGGATATTTTGTTAAACAAAGCCCTACAATGATCCTGTTTTATTTCCATCCACTTAGCCTATTAATGCAGGCTAATACTGCATGTTCTTTTGGCAGCGAAACCTAAAGTGTACTGGGAGGCTACATGTACATTCTGTGTCATATCCAATTAACTCAAATTCACTGTGTACTGCATTATGCTTTTAGTGCATGGAAGATCAATAAATAAGGAGAAAATCCAACAAGGTTCTCTCAATTCCCATCCAATTCTAGTAGGTCTGAGACAGATCATGCTCCTATGATGTGTATGCTGCTGCTGAAGAGGGCAAGTGGTACATAGACACCATTCAAACTTGGCCTATTCAATCTGAACTCCTCTAACTTGCCATTCATGCACAGCAAACCCCCATCTGGTCCTATTTTGCCTCCAGCAATCACAGTTGACCAAATCTGATAACAGCTGTTGCAAAACAAAAGCCAAAGGGGAGAGGGAAAGGCTAGAATGAAGTCCAGTGCTGAAAAGTACTCCATGAAGTGAGAAATGGAAAAGGAGCCATTCAAATAGCCAATCCCCATTGAAAAGAGTCACTGCAAGACTTCTGGTTAAACTTGAGATATTTAATCCATCTGTCCTGCAAACCACAATGATCAAGTGATAATATAAATTTGAGATTATGTTGCACAGATATCTTTAAAGGTTTTGTTCTCTGAGTTAGAAACTAATGACCCTGTGTTAGCTAAAAGTTAAACGTCCTTATGTTCTTTCATCATGTGTCAACCTGGGTTAATGTGAAAGTAGAATGTGGCTAACCAGGGTGCTAAAGCATCTCAAACCTTGGGAAAAGAAGGTTGGAAAAATAAATTTTCCAAGAAAGTGTTTGCATAAGGAAACATTTCTGTGTTTTCTATCACTATCAAAGACTTATGGCTCATCAGTTTTACTGAAATGTGTTTATTCTATAGCAAGATAAAAGCATTTTAGATAAACAAAATACAAACAACTTAATTGCTGCTATAATAACTCAAAAAAGTATAAAACAGCATAAAAACACAATAAGCAATGTAGGAATTAATAATTCATGTTACCAGTGTTTACATTAAAGCCTTATTTATGAAAAATTTACAACACATGATATGAAAACTTACAACTTTGAAAGAAAATATTTACATTATTTGGTTGTGGAGGTTCATTTAAATATTTTAATGGTCTTACAGCACATTAAAAACTTTCATTTTTCATATTAGCTTTCTGTAATAACAATTTTATTTAAGTGCATTTCCCTTTTAAAAATACAGTGTATTAAATCTGAAACTCATCACTTTGACACAGAATATATTTACATTTGTTCTGTAATTGAAATTAACATAAGAGGGTAAATGTCAATGTATATTTTCTTACAAACTATGGTAGGTTTATTTGAAGAAATTAAGTGAAAGGTTGGGTCAAACATTCAAGTTTGGTTACTTGCATTTGTTTTCGTGAAGACATTTAGGAGAGAAAAAACTTAAGAGCTTTAACTGAAATCTGTGATTTACTCTATTTTTTCATGACAAAAAATGCCATCAATTAACTCATGTCATACAAGTATGATTGTATGAAATCCAATCATCATTTTACAGGCAGTTACAACTGCTTTAAGGGCTTCCTGAGTTCATACTGCCCTGAAGAGTATTACTCACTTTTAGAGAAAGAAGGGTTATATCATATAACTCTGAAAGGCCATTTTGCTGTCATAAGGTCCAGGTATTTATTGGGCCATTTGATTCACATACTGTAGGTAAAGCTTAAATAAATTAAAAATGTATCACATGAAAAAGAGCACAGCTTGCTAAAAAAAAACAAAACACAAAAACCAGCAAAGCACAAAAACAAATGAAATGATTTATAGTCAGCTAAAAGATGATACACAGCTACATTGTAGTTCTTTATTGCCTATTTAATAGACACTTTAGAGGATAATTTGATCTGTTATGTATCCCTGCATAACTATCATCAACAATTTACAGTTTTCAGCCAAATGTGGTTTACCCCTACCCCCTCCATCAACACAAACCCATGTTGCAAGATCATTTCTCTTCAGAAAATACTGACCTGTGATAATACTTGAGTCTGTGTCTGAGATTGTATTTGTGACTGGTGCTGCTGAAGTGCTGGCTGAGGGCTCCCAATGGCAGGGATAGGAGAAGTGATCTGAGAGGCTACTGGAGAATGCTGCTGAGGAGAAGGCTGTGACTGGTATTGGATATGCTGCATTTGCTGCTGTTGCGTTTGCTGCAGCTGCATGTGCTGCAGTTGCTGGTGCATTTGCTGTTGATTAATTTGCTGCTGAAGATGCTTCTGCTGCTGCAAATGTTGTTGCATGTGGTGCTGATGCATTTCCTGCTGTATTTGCTGATGCATTTGATGCTGACGTAGTTGCTGCTGTTGCATCTGCTGCATCTGTTGCTGGTGGAGCTGCTGTATCTGGCGCTGCTGGCTTTGCATTGAGGGACTGACTTGAGACGAAGATGGCATTGCCACCATATTTGTTTCCATAGAGCTTATCAGTGGGGCAGCAATGTTTGTTGGCATGTTTGGTGCAATGGCGACAGAAGCTACAATCTGATTCATAATTGCATATGCTTAAATTAGATATATTTAAACACCAAAGGTAGGATTCTTTCATACTTTTACACATCTGTATTGTACACAACAAGTAGAATAGTTGCCTAGCATCCCTATATAAAGTCAACAGAGAGAAAAAGTCTCTTCCCACACAAATAAATTACGTTTTAGACATTTACCTTACAATGCATCAAACTGTGCTACAGAAATGTCTATTCTATCCCTACTCTCGGCAACTACCTTGGATGAAAAAGTTACAGCAAAGATGTCTTAAGCTGGGGGAGATGAGATGAATACTGGACTTAGAGTGCAATTTTCACTCACAATCTTCCCACAAGTTACTTGGCAGCTCAGGTCCCATGGATTTAGGAAGAAAATGTGATTTCTGATGTTTTTGAAAAGGGAACATAGAACTGACAAGATAAATTCCCTCAAAGGGATTTCCAGAAGAGTTCCAGCTTCCATTTAAGTTAGCATTGTGATACTAAACACTTTGAAAATATTATCTAAGTCCTAGAGACATCAGGAAAATGCAGCTTCTCAACACAAAAGGAAGAAATGTTCCAGCTTTCAAGAACACGTGTATAATGTCTGCTGTTGTATTTTTAATCATTAATTAAAATACACAGCAACTTTCTTTGTGATTTACTAATGCTTTGCAACTGTACATTCAAATAAATACTGTAAGGAGTTAGCATTACTTTCTTCTGTTGCTTTCTTGTGATCAAAGATATTTTTGTAATTGATCTATATGAAATATTAGTAGAGAAATAACTACCCTGATTAATTCTTAACCATATTTTAGATGTCTACAAGCATATTTCTGTTTATGGCATTCAGATGCAACAGATCTACAACCAGTGTAGTGCTGCTGGTTAGAAAGTTAAGTTGTCAAATAAGACAGCAGAGCTTTGTTTACTTCACAAATTTTATTCTAATTTGGCATCCACTAAAATACTCCATGTGGCTCAGTGACAGCTAGTCCATTTGTAAGTGCTCTCCAAATTCAGAGCCACCATACATTTTTTCCCCTCACCTGCAAGAAATACTTAAGCTCTGTCATACAATAACTGCTCTCCAGTTCCACACAATGCAAGTCTGTCTTTTGAGAAGTATCACTTCAGGAAAAACAAAACTCTGCAAATAGCTTGAAAATGTTAATGTAAAAAGATCAATATATTTTTCATGACTGAATTTTACTTTTTCAGTGAAGTGCATTATTTTGCCACCATAGATAACGGAAGATGTACATTTGAAAAGTTATTGTTTGGTAATCATTACTCTGCCATTGGAGAGATGACTTTTTTTTTGCAGAGACTAAGTAGGGTTCAAGCAGCAGCACAACAACTGGTAGAGCTATATTAATGAAATCCTAGGATTCTACTTATTTTGCATAACAGCACATCCCCACCACCAATATTTAAAAACCACTGCTAATTTGCATTACATGGAAAGCATTATTAGCCTTACCTTAGAAACAAGGCTTGCTCTATAAGCAGCAAGTGCCATTAGGTATTCTTTTTTGTCAGCTTCAGTTTTTCTTTTATATACCTATTAAGAGAGACTACAATTTCACCAACTTCAATTATTAAGATGTTTTTGCCAGAATGCAATCAAACAAGAAACCCATGGATAACACTCTACTGTTAGATAGATCTTCCCTGGAATATCTAAAAATTCTTGTAGGTGGTTACAGATTTTCAGGTCTACTCGCTGGGCCACAACTGATGTTTATTGTGAATAAATAAAGTGGCTAGAACAGCCAGCTGTTTGACAAGACTACCTATGCACACTTTACCTCCTCAGGAAATGATATTTTAATGACTCTAAAAGGAATATTACAACACAGACTATTTCAGATGCTAAAAAGTATCTGCAGTAGTATAAACTACCAAAAGATGACTACGCAATATTTTTTTAAACAAGCATTTGAACTATGTGTAAAAAAATCTTTATATCTTTAGAAAAGTTGGGTCATAAAACTTGAAAAACTCACTTTCCCCAAAGACAGTATGAGAGAATGAGGACCTTGGGCCCACCGTAGGAGAGGATCTGGTTCGAGACCATCTTAAGAACTTGCACATTGCCATACCCATGGGACTTAATGAAAACCATCCGCGGATCCTGAAGGAGCTGGCAAATAAAGGTGCTAAGACACTGTCCATCATATTTGAGAAATCATGGCAGTCAGGTGAAGTTCCCGACCACTAGAAAAAGGGAAATATAACCTCCATTTTCAAGAAGGAGAAAACGGATGACCCGGAGAATTACAGACCAGTCAGTCTCACCTCTGTGCCCGGCAAAATCTTGGAGCAGATTCTTCTGGAAGGCATGCTAAGGCACATGAAAATCAACAAGGTGCTTGGTGACAGACAGCATGGCTTCACTAAGGGGAAATCTTGCCTGACCAATTTGGTGGCCTTCTATGATGGGGCTATGGAACTAATGGACAGAGGTAGAGCAGTTGATGTTGATACCTGGACTTTTGCAAAGCATTTGACACTGTCCCACACAACATCCTTGTCTCTAAATTGGAGAGACATCAATTTGATAGACGGACCACTTGGTGGACAAATAACTGGCTGGATGGCCGTGCACAAAGTGTTGTAGTCAATGGCTCAAGGTCCGGCTGGACACCAGTAACGAGTGGTGTCCCTCAGGGGTTGGTGTTGGGACCAGTCTTGTTCAACATCTTTGTCAGTGACATGGACAGTGGGATTGAGCGCACCCTCAGCTAGTTTGCCGATACCACCAAGCTGTGTGGTTCAGTTGATACGCTGGAGGGAAGGAATGCCATCCAGAGGGACCTCAACATGCTTGTGAGGTGGGCTGATGCCAACCTCATGAAATTTAACCATGCCAAGCTCAAAGTCCTACATCTGGGTCAGAGCAATCCCAGGCACAGCTACAGGTTGGGCAGAGAAGAGATTCAGAGCAGCCCTGCAGATAAGGACTTGAGGGTGCTGGTCGATGACAAAATGAACATGAGCTGGCAGTGTGTGCTTGCAGCCCAGAAAGCCAACCATATCCTCGGCTGCATCAAAAGGAGTGTGACCAGCAGGTCGAGGGAGGTGATCCTGCCCCTCTGCTCTGCACTTGTGAGATATAAGGAAGAAATTCTTTAATATTAGGGTGGTGAGGCACTGGAATGGGTTGCCTAAGGAAGTTGTGAATGCTCCATCCCTGGCACTGTTCAAGGCCAGGTTGGACAAGGCCTTGGGTGAGATGGTTTCATGTGAGGTGTCCCTGCCCATGGCAGGGGGGTTGGAACTAGATGATCTTAACATCCTTTCCAACCCTAACTATTCTATGATTCTATGAATAAAGTTCACCTTTAAATCATGTTCACCATCATCTGTTAGATCAGACTAAAAGTTTCCAAATGTTTTTCACAAACAATATCATTCATATCTTGGCAAAAAAGTGTCCTATATGAAATCTACTCTTCCATCACAGCTTCCATTAACATGCTTTGTAACAAATTCATAATGCAGATCAAAGGGAAATGCTAAATGTGCTCTACCTTCCCCTTTTCTAACATGATTAATAGGAAACAAGAGCTTTGAAATAGGAATGATCAAAAGACAGTCTTAACAGGACTCTAGGACAATATCACCTGAGCATTTTTACAAACTGCCCTTTAAAATTTGAAGACAAACACAGCCATTTAATACTACCTAATGGCTCTTATAACAAAATGCTTTATAGATGCCAGGTCTTCAGCAAGTTCAAAAATCATTATAGTTCTACAGAGTAAGAGGTCTACATCAGCAAGTAGCATGTTCCACATAGAGCAGAGGTATGAGGATACTTTTACAAGGATTAGAATCATAGATTTGAGGGAAGAAACGGACTATGCCCGGTCCAATGTGAATCCAGCATAAGACCCTTTATTGTGTGACAAGCGCATATTTATATCATTCTACTTCCTTTACATGTGATCACACATTCTTTGATTGGTCGCCTCACATCTCTTTTGCAGTCTACTAAGTGCTAAGCAGTAACTTTCCACTCTTTTACTCCCTTATCATCCCTATTTAGCAACACTACTAAGGGTTACAAATATTCACACTGTTTGGTCTGTCTTTGAGATGCACATCCTGCTTTATCTTGCAAACCGCCTGCTTTGTTTTGCTAACCGATCTTTACCCTTCATAGTTCTCTTTACAGTTCCCAAGGCTTAGGCCGGAGCAGGGCATTAACACCTGGTATTTTTTTCACAGTTCCCAAGGCTTGAGCCTGTCCAGGGCAACAGCAGCTGGTCTTTTCTTTACCGTTCCCAAGGCTTAAGCCGGGCCAGGGCGATAACGCCTAGATCCATTTCATTAACTGTTTCTATCCATCACCCACATAGAATCATTACTATTTTACTTCTTGTGAGACATCCCTCCATCAATTTTTTACCTGTTTTTGTTCTTCTCCTAAACTGTCTCACATAGATGCCACTATTTTTGAAACGTCTCCAAATGCAGCATTTGGGTTCTGCCCTTTAATTGCAGCTTGTGTATCTCTGAAGAAAAGGGCGTATGCTGACACTGGCTTTTGTGGCTCATTGGGATCTTTCTTTTTCTTCTTCTTTGGAGTCTTGGTGTTCTTGCCAGGATCCGGGGCAGCTCTTTTTTCTCCAGTAGCCTAAGAAATAGTAACAGCAAGAACAGTCTACAGATACATAAAATAAGTCAGGTTAATACTGAAAAAACATCGTCAGTCTGGCTTAATAATACATAGATAAAGCTACTATGTAAGCAACATTTTGGAGTCTCCTGTTCTGCAAGCCTTTCTCCTCCCAAACAGTTCTTAGTCTCAGCTTAATCTCATCAGATCTACTGGAAATAAATGCATGAATAGTTACTACTCATTGTAAGCATGGCTCAGACAGTCAAATCCTAAGATCTTGACCTAAAAAAGTACACCCCAATGCTAATTTACATAAAAAAAAGCATAAAAAGAAAATATTTAATCTATAGCATATTTTGAATAGGCAGTCTATGTTTTTCCATTAAGATGCAATTTCAGCAGTAGAGACTCAAAAGACAAGAGCTTGGAGGCATTCCCTGATTCCCAGACATAGACTGTCAACTTAGACATTGGTCAGGGGTTAAAAAGCCAACCCTTCAGGTAAAAAGCAGTGGCAACTCTGCAGCTTTGATCCACCTGCAGCAAACACCCACTGTGTCCAGCATCCACCTCCACTGCCCCGATGCAGGGTCAGGCTCCTGTGCAATAGCACTGGAGGCTCAGCCTCACTGCCAGGGACCAACCCTGCTCCTGCACCTTCCTTTTGCCTCTGGGATAGGGAACCCCCAGAGTAGCACACCAGGATACAGGTTCTTGCATGTGCCTCGTGTCCTGTACCATCTTTTGTTGAACTATGCACAGATTATTGCAACAAGGGAATAAAGTGGCTCTAAATATACCTCTATTATAGTCATTTTCCTTTGATATTTTGATCATTTTTGCAGTGTTATTTCCATGTGCACAATTTCCATTAAGTTAATGAGAAAACCTCTCAGGGAATAGTCTTAATTATGTCCTTTAAAAATACTGCTATGATAACATTTGTGCTTTATTTTGTTGATAAAATTTTCCTCTTATAACAGATTTATTTAAAGCAAAATGTAAATTGAATAAACTTTCAGTTATAGAAGAAAGCTTATTTTATTTCTATCTAAATGATTATATGTTTATATGACTACAGAGAATACCAAAATAAGGGCAAAACTGTCCAAAGTTGATGAGTAAAGAGATTCACCAAATCTATAAAATCTGAAATGAATTATTATGAATATATTAGACCAAATATATATATATGTATATTTTTACATTTATTATTATGGAGGTATTATGGAAACATCTTAAGAAGCTAAACAGGAAATGAATCATATTCCACTATAGCATAACATGTATTTTATATGACAGCACTGCAGCTGAAATGCTACTGCCTCATTTATGAAAATATACAGACATGCAACGCTTACTCACTATAATGCAGGGAATAACTTACTCTATTTGATTCATCTGCATCTTCTTCATTTATAGAGCTGGATGGGGAAGGAGTGGCTGATTTACTGGCAGGTGGGGAGGGAGAAGTGTGTGGCAAATTAGTGCCTCCTAAATATAGACCCAGCTGCACACTTAGCTGAGACTGGTTAATGGTGGTTAGCTGAGAAGGAGGCATAATTCCCAAATGAGCAGCATCAGTCATGTGGACTATAGATCTCATAATCAGAGAGTGATTGTGGCGATACTGGGAAACTTGTGTGTGACTCTGATCCTAAAAGAGATTGAAACAGTATTCAGTCATTAGCAGTTACCATGTAGCATGATCACATAGTTATTTTTACAGGCTTTAATAACCAACACTTGCAGAATTGTCAACTTGCAGTTTGTTTAGGTTTTTTTTTTTATAAGTTAAATTCATTTTGAATAAATCAAATGCAGCAGCAGTTACTACACTTGTCCCAGACTTCACTTCTTTCCCTGCTTGTGGATGAGTGTTTTTTTTTTGTGGAATAAAAATTGCATTTCCCCATTTTTAAACATTTCTTCTCTTCATGTGGTGTGAAATACCCACATAAACAACAGGGAAATAGGCTGACTGACTATACAGGGAAAACATGGGATGGGATATAGGGATATAGACAGAAAGAAAAGCATCTTCCTTTACAAGCATTCAATTACTTCAATTACTCTTAGCTGTTGTTAGTAAGAGGAGTAGGTATAAAACAGCTGCCTGAGTGGGATTTTAAAGTTGTTTTAAACAACACTGCCTGTCCAGGTCTCGAGTATAGATGCTGCAGCACACTGGAGAATGTTCGAGTCATCCTAATCACTCCTAAAAATCCTTGGTTGCAAGCACCACACAAACCTACACATTTTTATCTTTAAACCAGCAATCAAACACATGTGGAAGTAGCAAGCTATGTACCAATCACAGACTTCATTTTTCTTGTATTTCATGTCTCAGAAACTCAAGTGCTTGCAAGGATTTGTTTGTACTCTTTCCTGAGGGCACAAACTGTGTCTTCTACATATCCACAACACTTACCACATTTGTAAGTTAAAAGTGAGACCCTGAAGGAAAAGCCAACTGGAATCTGCCTATGAACAACTCAGTTTTCTTATTTGCAACCACACATGGATCACTACACAATGAACAAATATTTAAACAGAAAAGAAGATTAAAGAAGACTTTTTTCAACAGTTAATAAGTGAGGACGCTAAATAGCTTACAAATTGATTCAGCAACCTGATTAATCTATAACCATTGTTTGAACAGACAACAATATGAGAAATAAATTAGATTTTGAAAACTTTTTCATTATTAACAACCAGCATTGCAATTAGTAGCAGGTGCAAAGATCCTTAATAAAATGACACAGGACAAAGCAGCAGTGCTGGACTTCCACAACAGGGTTTGACCTTCCCAGTGCTCTTATTAAGTGTGGATAAACTCAAACCAGTTTTCAATTATCTGTGTCAGCATAGAGAAAGTTTAGCCCATGAGAATTGTCCCTTACATTTTACAACTCTTCCTCAACATAGGTAGTAGTAATGTGCTCCTGAAAGCCTTTTCTTGGACAGGACAAGTGCAGCCATACAAAGAAGCAACATGTGTTAGAGAAGATGCACACCCTGCCTCATTCATTTTATGTACAAGAGCTGCAGCACCCTGCTTCCCTATAACAATAAATCATATTAATTCTGAATTTGACATTTGTGTCTTTTTGGTGATGCCTATACAGAAAAAAATAAATCCTTCTTAGCATAAAAATACATGTAGTGTTGCACCTGGATCCTGTACAGATGAAGTTAACACCACAAGCTCATAATCCAGATCCTAAACACTTAAGTCTCATGCTCATTCTCCCCATGATTTTTAAATAATTGCCAGTTGGCTCATCATCTGTACTGCACCATGCTGCTTTTCCTGCTTCTTAAATTCTTTTAATACTTTCAGCAAATGAGTGTGGTTCCTTACAGATGAATGCATGTGCCAAAAGAGGAGAACTTGACAGAGAAAAATCAAAACATGAGATTTACTGGCTGAAATGCCCCTTTGCTTCAGGGGACTTTTCTGTGAAAATATACTACTGTTAACTACAGGGTCATTTTGACAGTAAAATGTATTGGCAGTACCGTCTGGAAACCATTCAAAGAATTTTCCTACCTTACAGGCATTTCTTTATTAGAATCATAGAATGATAGAACAGTTAGGGTTGGAAGGGACCTTAAGATCATGGAGTTCCAAGCGCCCTGCCATGGGCAGGGACACCTAACACTAAACCATGCCACCCAAGGAGCTGTCCAACCCAGCCTTGAACCTCCAGGGATGGAGCATTCACAACCTCCCTGGGCAACCCATGCCAGTGCCTCACTATAACAAGAAAGAACTTCTTCCTTATATCCAGTCTAAACTTCCCCTGTTCAAGTTTTAATCCATTACACCTTGTCCTATCACTACAGTCCCTAGTGAAGGGTCCCTCTCCGGCATCCTTGTAAGCCCCCTTCAGATACTGGAAGGCTGCTACGAGTTCTCCATGCAGCCTTCTCTTCTCCAGGCTGAACAGTCCCAACTTTCTCAGCCTGTCTTCATATGCAAGGTGCTTTGGCCCCTAATCATCGTTGTGGCCCTTCTCTGGGCTTGTTCCAACAGTTCCAAGTCCTTTTTATGTTGAGGACACCAGAACTGCACACAATACTCCAAGTGAGGTCTCACAAGAGCAGAGTAGAGGGGCAGGATCACCTCCTTCAACCTGCTGGTCACGGTTCTTTTGATGCAGCTCAGGATACGGTTGGCTTTCTGGGCTGCAAGCACACACTGCCGGCTCATGTTCATTTTCTCATCAACGAACATGCCCAAGTCCTTCTCCATGGGTCTGCTCTGAATGTCTTCTCTGCCCAACCTGTAGCTGTGCCTCGTATTGCTTAGACCCAGGTGTAGGACCTTGCACTTGGCAAGGCTAATCTTCATAAGGTTGGCATCAGCCTACCTCACAAACATGTCGAGGTCCCTCTGGATGGCATTCCTTCCCTCCAGCGTATCAACCGAATCACACAGCTTGGTGTCATCAGCAAACTTGCTTGAGGGCGCATTCAATCCTATGGTCCATGTCACTAACAAAGATGTTGAACAAGACTGGTCCCAACACCGATCCCTGAGGGAGACCACTCATTACTGGCCTCCAGTCGGACACTGAGCCACTGACCACAACACTTTGCATGAAGACATCCTCCTCCTTTTGCTGGGAACCAGCTTGTTGATCCATGCACTCTCTATGTTATGCCTAAAGTGTGATCACCATGAGAACACCTGATCTTGTCCGATGACATCTGAAGCCATCAAGGCAGCGACTCAACGTATAGATGGACTTGTGATCGAGAGGTGGACTTAACAACAGACATTATTGCCCAGGTTGTTCATGAATGTGAAATGTGCTGTAATTGAGCCAACCAAGGGGTTAAAGTCTCTCTGGTATGGAGGACAATGGCTGAAGTACAAATATGGGGAGGCCTGGCCGATTGATTACATCACACTTCCACCAACCCGCCGAGGCAAGCGCCATGTGATTATCATGGTGGAAGCAACCACTGGCTGACTAGAAATAGAAGTTTTGGCGCACATCACTGTTCGGAACACTATCCTGTGCCTTGAGAAACAAATCTTGTGGTGACATGGCACCTCAGACAGAACTGAGTTAGACAATGGGACTCATTTCTGGATCAACCTTATAGACACTCGGGCCAAAGAGTGGGTTTATCACATCCCCTACCATGCACCAGCCTCTGGGAAAATCGAACGGTACAATGGGCTGTTAAAAACTACACTGAGAACAATGGGTGGTGGGACTTTCAAACACTGGGATACACATTTACCAAAAGCCTCCTGGTTGGTCAACACCAGAGGATCTGTCATCAGGCCTGGCCCAGCCCAGTCAGAACTTTTACATACTGTAGAAGGGGATAAAGTTCATGTGGTTCACATAAAGAATTTGTCGGGGAAGACAGTCTGGGTTGTTCCTGCTTCAGGTAAAGGCAAACCCACTCGTGGGATTGCTTTTTCTCAGGGACCCAGATATACTTGCTGTGTAATGTAGGAAGATGAGGAAGTCTGGTGTGCACCTCAAAGGGATTTAATTTTGGTGTCAAACAGCTGATGAACTCAGTTGTATGCTGTTGCCCGCTATATAACACTTCTGTAGTCCACCAGCTAGATGTCTTCAGGTCACCAGCAACTGGCCCTGACTTGCCTCCGATCATCATCCCAACAAAGAATGAACTTTGATGAAACCGGACGAGCTCAGCAGTGAACAGAAGTGTTCAGCCGTCTCATTAGCAGGCATCAACCCAACACTACACCCTGTCTCTCCTGCCCTGAAAAACAGTTACAAGAGCTCGAATCTGACATCATGGACTGGATGATTTTAGCAACTTTATAGAGATTGGTCCATGGACTAAGGAATGATATGTCTCTTTGTGTGTGTGTGTGCATATATATATGTATATATATGTGTATATATAGATATAAGACAAAAGAGATGGCATATTGAGAAAAGTGGGATCTGAGCAGGACGTGAATGGTACAGAATAAGAGGAGGATACAGTCCTGGGTTCAACAGTAGCAGTTATTTTTCTCCTTCTTAGTAGCTGTTGCAGTGCTGTGTTTTTGAGTTTAGTCTGGGAACAGCGCTAATAATACTGATGCTTTTAGTTGCTGCTCAAGTGTTTAGTTTGACCAAGGACTTTCTGAGTGTCATGCTCTGCCACAGAGGAGGGGAAGCCTGGAGGAAGCAGAGACAAGACACATGACTCAAACTAGCCAAAGGGTTATTCCATACCGCTGCACATCATGCCCAGTATATAAACTGGGGGCAGCTACCCGGAAGGCACAGATCACTGCTTGGGTCAGGCTGAATATCGGTAGGCGGGCTGTGAGCAATTGTATTCTCTTCCCTTGTTATTCCCCTTATTATTACTATTGGTGGCAGCAGTAGTAGTTTTGTATTGTATCTTAGTTACCGGACTATTCTTATCTCACCTGTGGGAATTACATTCTTTCAATTCTCCTCTCCATTCCTCCGGGAGTGGGGGGAGTACGAAAGGGGGGGGAGAGTGAGCAAGCCGCTGCATGGTTCCGAGTTACCGGCTGGGATTAAACCAGGACATTTTTTTTGTGGCACTCAATGTGGGGAATGAAGGGTTGAGATAATGACAGATTTGACCAGAGTGTGTCTAATCATATTCGTGATAATCATTCATTGTTTCAGATTAATA